AAAAAAAAAAGATTGATGAATTGCTTACATTCGTATCAATGAAATTAAGTAAAAAGCAGCAGAAAACTGTTTATTGTAACTAAACAAAATAAATAATATATATTATAAAAATAAACAAACAAACATGATAAGCAACAAACAAAATAATAATAAAATAACTTTCTAGCAACATAGAAATAACTAGCAATTAACAGTAATATTCACCAACAAAACAACAATAAAAATATATTTCAAGCAACATAAAACAACTATCGATTAACAGTAACATATTCACCATGATGTTATTATCTGAAAGATTTATCTTCAACAATAGTTTACGAAAATAAAAGCAAAAATACAAGCCACCGTTAAATCTTAAAAGTTCAAGAGGGTCTAATCGGCACAAATTCACCATTACAGGGCAAAAGTTATAAATAAAGTCAACTTACTGAAAATCAGCACCAATCACCAGTAAACCAAGATAAAGTAATGAACGACTCGATTGTGCCAGCATAACATGCATCAAATTTCTCATGAAAAAAAAACACTAAAAATAAAGAAGGAAAAAGAAAAAAAAAAGACACTACTGGAATTGAAGATGAAGGGGTGTTGACAGGTGCGACAGGTGCAATAATTCATTTCCATATCTAAATTAGTAGCGAGCCAGGAATACCACTCACTGGGATGGCGCGGTTTCGGTGAAGAGAAATTGAGGAAAATTATGCAAATTTGAGAAGGATGAAGTACAAAAAATTGAAACAAGAAGAAGTACAAAAATTAGAAACAACAAGAAAGAAGAGGATAAAGAAAACAGGGGAAAAAAATAAGAGAATAAGATAAGAAAAATAGAAAAATAAGAAGTTACAAGAAGAATGAGAAGTAGTTACGGGGAAGATACTAATATAATAGGGTCTAAAAATTTAAAACCTAACTGCGTCTATGAAAAAGATGTATATGAAAAAGAAAAAGATTAATTGTGTCTAAATAATAAGCAAGATGTTGATGTGAAATGTTTAAAGATATAGTCAGACGGTGTCATTTTTTCCTTATTAATTCTGCAGCCCAGTTTTCCAGCCTTTTGTATTATCCACAACCCATTCGCAGCCAAAGTTCTTTGAACTAATTACCCTCCTAACAAGGGAAACTTTTAATAGTTCCCATTTAACGATATATAAAAAAAAAACGCACATCAGACTTGATTAAGTCTTAATTACGAAATTGTGAAAATTTCAGTTCCCTTTCTCCGTCATTGACGCCGCCATCACCACCCTCACAATCTTCTCTCCGCCAAACTCCGCCTTCTCCACTTCCAGTCAGCCGTCTCTCGCCCACCTCTTCCTTCACTCCTCCCCCCTCTCTCCCCGTCATCCCTCCTCTCATGCCCTTTGCCTCTACAGTCTCGTCCCTCTTCACTGCCAGAGACCTCGTCGTGACCTCCGGCCAACCCGAACAAATATCCGTCAACAACGTCGGAGTCTTTGATAGCCCTATTTTCGACGACGGATTTAACTTAGTCTACACAATTGACAGTTTCTTCAACCTGAATTTCAACTTAGCGGATGTAGATGCGGCCAACGAATCCTAGATGAAACTAAAATCGAGATGAAAACAACTTAAATTGTTTTGCTGCTTTCTGCTCAATTTTCCCTCGATTTTAGTTGGTCATTTTTTTATGCTGTGTTATTTAGTTTGTTGAGATATTTGTGTGCTATGTTTTTTCTGTTGTTCAGTAATTAATTAATTCTGTGATCTTTTTAATCTCTCGAACTGCAGCTCATTGATTTTTTGGGAACTCTATGAAACCGTGGACAGTTTTTGCAGCGATGGGCAAGGAATCGGTCCAGTTTTCCGGGGATTTTGTAGGCCTCTCTTCTTTGTTCATGAGGCATTTGGCTCCGTGCAAAGTGATGTGGAATGATATGGATGAGATGGCGAATGGGACTGTTGTTTCCAACAATGTGAGTGGCTTTAGCTTGGAGATTATCAAGGATGAAGTTGATACAATGATGGTGAACTGAGTCGAAATCAGTTTCCCAGAGTTGTACGAAGCGAGTGGCTGGTGGTTCACGGGATCGAGCGTACTTTGCCGGAGATTGGGGACGAGGAGATGGAAGTGACTGAGGATTTTCCGGTGGAGGAAGACATTAACTCGATGGCTGTGGATGATGGAGAATTTTGAGGTCAGTTGTTTCTACTTTACTTAATGAAATGTCTCTCTTTCACACTGAAGAATTTTTTATGTCTTGAAAAGGGAATGAGAGCTTTTAATATTCTTAGAATTAGAAATTGGGATTGAAGAGAATACGTGAATTGTGGAAATTTTACTAATGGAACTCTTGAATGAGATTTCTTGTTGAAAAGTGGCTCGGTTTATCAACAAGGAGAAAACAAGCATCGAGGAAGAGATGTGAAAATGGGGATTCGAAGGTCAGAAAAGTGATGAGTTGCGTTTCGTATTTTTTCGATGGGTCCGATTCTCATTTTTTCTAATTTACGTGTGCTAAGTTTTGGAAAAATAAAATTAAAGTAGCTTATTTTTATGTTAGTTCGATGTTTTATTTGATGTTTATCTATGATTTTTTTGAAGATGAGAGCTTGAATAATCTGTTGAAGCTTTTTATAAAGTAGATTTTGTAGTGTTAATTGGTCTTTACGTGTGTTAATTTCTGGAAAAAAAAAATTTATAGTTTTTTTGAGTGTTAATTTGATGTTTATCTATGATTTCTTCAAATTGTGAGCTTGAAAAATATCTAGAATTTTTTTCTTTTTTTGGTTAAGTATTTTTTGAGTGTTAAATTTCTTTTTTTCTTGTGAAGGTTTGATTTTAAATTATGAGTTGCTGAATTTAAGATCTGAGTTACTCCGGCAAAAAATTCCAATGGGACCTTCGTCCACCACCGGCAGCTGCACCTTCGCATTCGGTGACAGATGGAAAATGTGACCACTGCAAATCGTGAGGAATTGGTAGAGAGTTGTCTCGCTTGAATAGTTTGTAGAAAATTAAGTTCTTTTAAAACAGCTTTTTCATATTTAGTTTGATATTTATTTGAGTTGATTTTAGTTATTGATTGTATTCTTTTGGTTTATCTATAGTTTATCTATTGTATTCTTTTAGTTTATCTATGGTTTATATTTAGTTTTTTTATTGCTTTTGATTTTGTCCAATTCAAATTTTTTATGATTTCTTAAAAAAATAGATAATATACTTAAAATATACTTAAGATTAACTAGTTTTTCATGATTTATTAAAAAAAAATAGATAATATACTTATGATATACTTAAGCTATACTTAAGATTTAACCAGTTTTTTTTATTATTTAGTAAACAAATAAAAAAATATACTTAAGA